GGGAACCACATGTAGGAGCGGAAGTAGGGTGAGGCTGGTGTGTTGAGGATCTGCTCTCAAAAGGACTCTGGTGGGTCAGACTATCAGCAGCCACTCTTCTTCTCCTATCCTGTGCCCTACCCTCTGCCCCTCAAGTAGGATTACCATGGAGATTTGCAGGTTGGTATAGGAGGATGACCTCCTATTATTGTACAAGCATGGAAAGGGGGCCACATTCATGAATAGGTGGCTCAGGCTAGCTAGAGGTCTCCAGAAGAACCCGCTGGAGTTTGGCACACTCAAATGGCCAACATTTAGGATCTACTTATTTGCCTTCTCTAGATGCATCTTCAAACTGCACAGATATGTTCACCCCTGAGGGTTGAAGGGAACACACAGAGATCATCTTAGAGCCTGGGTACAAAGCAACGACAATGACTGAAACCATGGAAGAGTCTAGAACTCTGATGACTTTCGGGCTTATCCACCTTCACAGTGTGGCAGTAAGGGTTAAAGAGGCCCATGAGTTTGTCCTGGGGGAGAAAGAGACAGAAGGAGCTGGGGAGGCTGGCTTTCGACTGGTAGCTGTGCTCAGGGTTCATGCTTGTGTCAGGGGCTCTGGAATGTAGAGAAAGTGGGATGTGCCTTGAATTTGCAAGTTAGCAAGGAGAGCTCATAGAGGGCTGTCTACAGGGCAGAGAAATGACTGTAAGGTTTCAACCTCAAAGTATTGAGCCCAGAAGAAACCCAGTGAAGTGTTTCTCTGCCTCCTTTACTCATTACAGCTCCTTGAAGGAGATTTCCTTTGCATATATCACCTGCATCAGCCTTAGGTCCAGAACATTTGACCAAAAGAGAAGCAGTTCCTTCACATGCCTTGCTTGGGTTACAGTGCTTTTCTCTTTTGCTCCATCCTGGGTTTGAGGAGGCAAGTTGTAAAGTCATGGCAGTTCATACTCATTAGGTACCAGCTACCTTTTGCACGTTTCCCTGGGTTGCCTGCTTCAGTCTTATAGCCTTTGCTCCTCTAGCCTGACTCTTTCTCCTGCTCCTTGTCCCAAATCAGGCCTCTGAAGGCTTCTTTCAGCACACTCAAGGTAAGTTGCAGAGTAAATTTTAACTCTCTTATTTCATGCTCTTTCCATCACCCCGTGCAATGTCACATAAAAATACACATCAAATCACAGTCTGTGAAATAAAAAAGTGGAAATAACTTAAATGTTCAACAATTAGGGGGTTGCTTAGTAAATCACGATGAATCCATTTGTCAGAACATTATGCAAACATTAAAAGTGATCATTATAGAGACTGTACAGCAACCCGGGAAAGGTTTATGATAAGACACTGAGCGAAACGACAATGCAAATACTACAACTGTTTTGATTGCAATGATGGAAAAATATGTCAGTGTGTCAACAGGGCTGGAAGATAATATGCAGGAGTGAAAAATGACTGTGTTTGGGTGCAAGCACTATAGGTATTTTTTTTTTCTTTTAAAATGGTTTGCTTCTCCTTTATTCTTTTTGCTTGGTCTTTTTTTTTTTTTTAACCTTCTGAGGTAATCTTTCAGGCTTGGCATGGAGTGTAGAGACTGTGAGATCAAATAAGGTTAGAATGAGCCATTTCCCCAGTGGGAAACCCTTAGACTGGTGACGCTCACTCCTTTATGTGGAAGGGCTCCAGAAATAGAGTCTCTAAGTTGTGGCTAAGTGAAGGCAGTGCTGCAGTCAGCCAGGCATGGGTCAGAATTCCAGAGTTACTACTAACTGAGTGAACCCAGGTCTGCCCTGAACCAACACTCTAGTTTTGTAAAAATGCAAAGTCGATGCAACCAGACATAGCATACAAACTCTCAGAATATTTTGGCTCTGTAGAATGTCTTACCAACCCTTCCTCTGTAATCCGTCCTGGGTACAGTTTAATCCCCCTACTGCGAGACAGGGCCAGGCAGCCCTGGCCGTCGCTGTCCATGGTTCTGAACCACCACCTCACACTCGTACAAGGTTTTTCCTGTGGGAAGTTGTGTGGCTGGTGTTCCTTCTACTCTACCCCATTTCTCCCTGGAACTACATTTACACTACCAAGTTCAACATGATCTTCACGCATGGGAAATTTTAAAAAAGCATTAGGGTTTCTGGATCTGGGCAAGAAAGAGAATTAAAACAAATTACAGGTCAGGGCAAGAAGGCAGATATGTCAACTGTGATTGAGTTATGATGCCAGTCAGTGAGACAAACCATATATCTGGCAGAAAGTGGACATCTTAAGTGATGGAGACTTTCCTGAGCACTGAAACCAGGAGTGAGGAATGGCAGGACCATGCTCGTGTCACTTTTTAATCTGCAGTTGTCACAATCTTGGTATATTTTATAAAGTATAAAAACGTGGCTTTTACAGTCCCATAGACTATCTCCAAAATGATAGCAGCCAACAATGGGCAACTCCAGTGGGAAGCCATCTGTGACCACACCACCTCTGTCTTTCCTGTATTTATTCTGTTTGGCTCTGTCTTCCTTTCTCTCCCCTCCCCTCCATCTACTTTTGTTTGTGAGAAAAACACTATGTAATTTTCTTTAAAAATTAATTCTACTTACAAAACAGGTCTGAAATATTCAAAAAATGAAAAAAGTTTCTCTTAAGTGTAGCTTGCATTAGAACTGTTTATTCCAGCATAATCGAGTTAATGAGCACCCTTTTAGAATCTAATGCAAAGTAACTTGCACACTGGTGGTGAGCTCCAAACGTTGGTGAATAGATACCTAATAGCATGGTTCCCCTTGGCAACCAATGTAAACCTTGATTCCAATTGGGCAAAAATAGTCAAGGAAAGGGTGGAATTAATTACAAACCACCATATTTGTCACTGGCACTTTTCAGAGCGATGAGAAGAAAGACAGTGACGGAAGGAGAAAGAGGGTAGGGAAGGATGTTTGAACCTGGATGTAATTGCTGATATTTTCTTCAGAGACTATGAATCTGACACAAATCTAGCTGGGGAAACTAGAAGGCAGAGGGCTCTCAATTCTAAGGAAAACAAGCGCAACCAAACATCAGCTGTGGCATATTTGAGTTCAGGGGCTGAGAAGCTGTCCACGGAAGCGGGTATCCCTCTGCTCATTAGCCCTGAGCGCCAAAGGCCAAGATCAGAGACAAGCCAACCCAGAAAGGGCTGGTGACATCAGGAAGAACATGAAAAAAATCTGTCACCCAGCCAGTTCTGGAGGACTGCAGGTGCTTCCCACTGTATACCACTTACATTCGCAGCCTTCTCCATCCCCTTACCCCCTTCAAGCCTTTATTTGGTTCCATCTGAATGAGTGCAGCATCTTCTCCCCTGGTTTCCACATGGGCCAGAAGGGGTCTGGCTGTCACCCAAATGCAGTCATACCATTCTCTGCTGAAATCTCCTCAGAGGGATGAGGACGTCACCTAACACAGGGATGTGTGATCTAAACTCTCCAGTGTAGCTAGGTATGGTGGTGCACGCTTGTCATCCCAGCACTCCGGGAGGCTCAGGCAGGAGGACTGCAAGTTCAAGCCCAGCCTGGGCAATTTAGTGACTTAGTGAGACCCAGTCTCAAAATGAGAAATAGAAAGGACCGGGGATGTCGCTCAGTGTGAAGGCCCTTGGTTCAGTCTCCAATACTGCAAAACAAGCAAACATAAAACCCTCTCCAATCTCCAGTGTTGAATGAGACGGCGTCCCTTTCCCTTCCCTCCTCACCAAGCTGCTCCCCGCTGTTATACATTCTCAACAGCCCGCCCTTCTACTGATTTTTGTCTCATGCTCTGTGTTTCTCTGGGTTAAACATTCTCACTGGAAATTCCTTTTCCCTCTCTTGTCCTCCTCTAACCCCCACGCATCTCTTGGGCCTCGGGATTCAGTTGAGGTTTCACTTTCCCTGAGCACAGTGTCTTTGAAGTCCTAGCCTTCCGCCTTCTCGCCACAGTCCCCAAGCACTCAGGCTCAGCCTGTGTCACTGCTTTAGTGCCCTCCGCCTTGCCTAGCAGCTGTTTACCTCCCTGCCTCCCCTTCTTTGCCCCAGGCTCCTAGAAGGCCGGGACCCTATCCTGATTCTCATGGCACCCACACTCTTAGCATAGGGCCTGGCCTATGAGAGGTGCTCAGCAAATGTTTGTTGAATAAATAAAAGAACAGCATTGCCAAGTAGAAATTAATTATGGACAAGGCTGAAAGTGAGAAGGGAATATATCTATCCCTAGACACTGCATTTATTTAAGTCTTTCTTCAAATAGAATTTTCTTCTAATTTTAATATACAATTGGGGAATTAATGTCACCAATATTTGTGGAATTTGATGCTTTCAATAGAAGAAGAATAGCACAAGTGCACAAAGCAACTCTAAATGAAATATAAATGGTGATACGATGAAGTAGACCTGAGGATGCTACAATGGGTACAGACAAACCAACCTTCACACTGAAGGCTTCTGGACCTGAGTCTAGCATCTGAATACTGCTGGCAGGAGGAGGTGACCCCACTGCTAAATGCTAAAGAGACTAGAACTTGAAGAAGCCATTGGCTTGTGCAGTTTGGAAGACAATGGGGAACTTTCAGAGAATTAAGAATAAAAGAGTAATGAACTGAATTACAGGAGGTGCGAAGCAGAAAACCATGTGCCCTGGATTAGCATGGCTGTTTGCTAGTGGACGGGGACAGAACCAAGACATGGCCAGAGGCTCAGCCAAGGACTTACTGTTCTTTTCATGGTTATAGTTTGCTTGGGAAAAAAAAAAGGCTACCTGGATAGATGGTGTGGGTCCACTTCAGGCCACGTGCTCCCAAGGAGGAGCCTCCCCTAACCAGGACCTCCACTCAGGTCATGCAGCCCAGTGCCCAGCAAGATGAAGGACTTCTAGGACTGTCATCTGACAACAGAGCCCCTGGATCCAGGGGTCTGCAAAGGCAGCAGGGCCTCTCTTTGTGTCCTTTGAACTATTGTCAACATCTCCCCAAACTTAAGCAGCAAATTTACCTGTGATCAGGCTTTGCAGGGCTGATGGCTCCAATGGCAGATTGCTTTGCTATGGGCTCAGTGTGACAACTCAAGATCTCTCCTGCTGATCTGAAATGCTGATTGCCAGCCATAGACGTCTTTGATGAATAAAAAATGGGAAGGCAAATTAATTATTACTTATGAAATGCAGATTATTTGGTAGACAAATATCTTTCAGACCTTAGGGCCCACCCATCAGGGAAGATAATAAAAATAACCCTGGGCAGTGGAGAGGGTTGAAGTTTATGGAGCCAGGGGAGGTCTCAAAAATCCAACTCCATACTAAGTGATCGTAATAGTCTCTTTGTCCCTGTCTTTGTGTCTGTCTGAATCCCGCCCCCCCCCCACCCCCGCCTCTCAGTTTCTCAGAATTCCCGACCAATAGCATCTCTCTCATAGTTTCCGCATCTCCTGGCTTCTCAGGCACTGTTGCTCTTCTCTGTTTGGTCCTCCCTCCTTGGTCTTCCACTGGTCCTATGATGTTTCTCATGGCTTTCCTGCTGTCTGGGTGTCTGGGGTTCTCAGTTTTGTAATAACCAATAACCCTGGGCAGTGGAGAGGGTTGAAGTTTATGGAGCCAGGGGAGGTCTAAAAAATCCAACTCCATACTAAGTGATCGTAATAGTCTCTTTGTCCCTGTCTTTGTGTCTGTCTGAATCCCGCCCCCCCCCCACCCCCGCCTCTCAGTTTCTCAGAATTCCCGACCAATAGCATCTCTCTCATAGTTTCCGCATCTCCTGGCTTCTCAGGCACTGTTGCTCTTCTCTGTTTGGTCCTCCCTCCTTGGTCTTCCACTGGTCCTATGATGTTTCTCATGGCTTTCCTGCTGTCTGGGTGTCTGGGGTTCTCAGTTTTGCTATCACTTCACCTTGCTTTATTGTTTCACGGCTACCTGGGATCATTGTGTCTAGAGAGCTTCCCTGTGACTGCCCATCTCTGCTGCCCCTGCCTTCCCTAGACAGGAGGCCGTGGAAGGCAGAGTTTCTGTTTCACTCGCTCCTGTGTCCTCTGAACGGAGAACACTGCCTGGCACTGGGGGGCGGTCAACAAACCTAGTCAGCTGGCTGGACTCTGTCTGAGGTTTATTTGGCTGTCTCTGTCCATGGCTCTCCAGTCTCTCTTCGTCCTCGGTTTCTCTTTGTCCGTGTTGGGCTGCTGCTTTGCCGTGTCACTTCTGCTTCTGGTCTCTGTGTCTGTCTGACCTGAGATAGAGTAGAAGAAATAAAGTCAGGTAGAAGGTAGAAAGGAGACAAGTAGGGCTGGGGATTTAACTCAGTGGTTCCACTGCCTGCCTGCCAAGTGCAAGTCCCGAGTTCGATCCCCGATACAAAAGACAAAAGAAAAGAGACAAAGACGTAGTAATTTTACAATTATAATTTTGAGAAAGATGCAACTTCAAGACACAATCAAGGTTATAATACTATTTTTTTAACCACTAGGCCTGCTTTATTACTTGCCAAGCTCCTCATCTCTAATTTTCCAAGAGTTTTAAAGATATGGTAAGTTCATATGTGTGACCTATGCTTTTCCTCCAGTACTATAAATCTACAAATTTCAGATTTCCTCCCTTGAAGAAACAGGGTACCGTATCTAAATTTCAAACACATGCAAATAGTTTACATTTTAACCTACTTGATACAGTCAGTTTTTGCTTTAGCCCCCTAGTGGGTAACCTGACAGGCATACTAGGCAGACAATGACAACTGAAAAATATACCTCCTAGCTCATCTGTCCCAAGGACACCCCAAGACCTTATAGATACCTGCACCCAGACTATAATGCACCTCACCTCTTGAGCACCCACACTCTGTCTCTGAGTGTGTACTTCTTCGATCCTGCCTAATAAATCTGCCTGAGCTTCTGAGCTTCGTGACGTACTCTTCTGTGATGATGGCTCAAGCACCTGCCAGGGTGGCTTGCAGCCTCCATCTCCTTTAGGGACGCTTCCCAGAACCTGTCTGATGACAACCTGGCCTCTCCCTCTCCCTCACCACCTCCATCTCTGCTCTCTCAGCAATATGAGTTGGAGCTGGAGGGCAGCCTGGGCCAGGGCAGGAACCAGGCCACCCCCAGACACACACAGCCTCCCCTTGGACCTCTCTCCAGGACCCTCTGACAAGAACCAGAGAAAGGAAGATTCATTTGCTTAGCAGCAAACAGCATCAGCTCTTGGGCAGCAAAGGCCACCTTTGAGATGCACAGGTCTCATCCCTCTGGGCCCATCAGGAGCCTCATATAGCAGCCCTGGATGGTACCAGCAGCTGGCTCACTCCTGGCTGGGTTGAGGGGCAAGGGCTGCGATCTGTCCCTCCTTGTGGGATGGACCAGAGATGAATGAAGCTATTCCTGGAACCAGTAGCCACCCCTCCGGGCTAACATCTTCCTTATATGGCTTCCACCAAGCAGACAACAAGGGTTCAAGTTCTAGGGAGGTGTCCGCTCTGCAAGTGTAAAGCCTGCGGGATCTGAGGGTCTATGCTGTCGAGGCAAAAGCAATGAGATTTGAAGTCACCCAGAGTGAGTTAAAATCCCAATTCCCAACCGAACTTACAGCTGCACTCTCACATCTCCAAGACGGGAACAATAACCTTTGCTCTGTACGGGGGCTCGTGAATTAGATGTGACCAGCGAACCAAGCACTCTGCCCGGGCCATCACGAACTCTCAGCACATGGTAGCTGTGGGCAGTGGAAGGCAGAGGGCACCCATGGGCATCCTTTTACTGAAGGTTGGCTGGCTCTATGGCGGCTGTGGGTAGTTTGAGTAGTAAAGCACCTAGAGTAAAAGAATTCCAGCAGGGGCAGGAGCTTCAGTTGGCCATCCCATCCCGTCCCCTGCCTCAGGCAGATGTCTGTGTAACCCACCCCCAGGCAGATGGTACCCTTCCAGAAGTTCCCTGGGAGCAGACAGCCCAGCCTCCCTCTTTACCCATCTCTAGATCCTTCCTGCTCAGTCGAGATGTGCTTCCTAACATCCCATCGCGAAGCTTTTTGCCTTCACACGGCCTGCTGGCTCTGGCAAGGGTTCTGCGGACCTGGAGAGGGGCCCTTGGGCTGTCAGCCCTCGAGGTGGTCTCGGTGTGTGCTCCAGGCTGCGCCTTCACAATCCCTCATTTCAGCAAATTACAGGAAGGCAAAGATGACGGGGAATCTGCAGCGTAGAGCCAAGTACTCACTCGAAAATATCTCCAAGGCCTTTTCCAATTTCCTGGAAATCTACAAGTGTTTCCAAGACACAGCTTTCGTAGCTGGGCCCTGTTGGGTCCTACACATCTCTGCTCTTCCTGCAGAGCTTGCTGCCTCTTTACAGCTGCCCCTGAGCCACCCGCACTGCAGCTTTCACCCCTGGGCCCACCTTTCTTGCCTCTTTGGTGTGGCCCCGCGGGTCTGGGCACCTGCAGATGCTGGCAGGGAGTGAAAGGAGGTGCGGGCCTGACTTGCTTCCCTGCCTGCTCCAGATGACTCACCAGCTGCCTTCACATTTCTCTTCCCGTCCTTACATAATCCTGACTCCAGGATTAAAAATACTCTGCCGAGTACCCTTCCGTCTGTCATGTATGCGCCCTCTCTCTCGCTCTCCATATATACATCTATATTTTTTTTCTTATTTTTAATATGCTTCGGAAAGAGCACTTCCGTCATTCGTATTCCAGCAGAGATGGGTTTTCGAGTCAGCTTTGCTTCCTCCAGAGCAGCAGCCCTGGCGGAGTGAGAGTCCTCAAACCTGAGGAATGCAGGCCGCTTTGTGCCTCCCTAAAGGCTTGTCTTACTGTGAGGACCCCTCTTCGGAGCCACCCAGCACTTCCGCAGAGCAGCTCTTGGCCCTTCCTACCACCTGGGCTGGCAATCACCAGCCCGGGAGTTGCAGAAGGCGGGGAGCTGGGCCCTCTGGGCCGATTCAGGACCTGACTCCAGTCACTGGCACGGGGACCCCTGCCTCCTGCGCTGCCCCTACCTTTTACCCCCCGTCTCCATGTACCGGGAATCTTCTCTAGACGGACGGAGGAGAAGGGAAAGGGCTTAGCCCTGCTTCTCTCCTCAGGTACAACCTGAGCACCGTCTGATCCAGAGGGCCCTGGTACGCTGGGCCTTGGCCTCGCTTATTCATTCTGCAGGTGTTATTTGGGGTTTATGATCTATGAGGCGGATCAGACAGATCAGGACCTGCCAAGAGGGTGCAGCTGAGGGAGGAGAGACAGCGTGTAGATCAGAGAATTTAGAGTTGCGAGATCTGGGACTGAGTCCAGGGTCTGCCAGATGCCAATCATACAGCAAGCACTGGAGCTGACTGTGCTCACCTGTGCAGTCGGAGCTAGACCCTCCGCTGTCTGATGCGGGCGTGGGGCTGACAGCTGTGAAGGGTCCGAGGCAGCAGTGTGGTGCAGGAGTGGATTGTCCCAAGGGCATGCGTTTAAAGCTAGATGCTCCTGCGGGGCAGAGAGATGCCTGTGGAAGCAGCCTCCTTTATGATCCCCTCCCTTGTGAGCCTTGTCTTCTTTATGACCCGTGCCGCCAGTCCCATCTCAAGTCCACATCCTTGGGCCCAGAGGGAGCCAAGTGCGGTACCCTATTTCAACCGCCCCCAAACGCTCCGGAAGCCCCCTCCGCGGCTCCTACCTCTCACGAGTTTACATTTCCTGTCTCCATGTACAAGGGCCCCCCCCACCGACGGATGGAAAAGGGCTGATGGGCTGGAGGCCTGGCTCCACAGTGCTCACCCCGAGCTCAGCGTGCTGGTGGCCGAGTGACTTTCGCTCTCACGCCTCAGTTTTCTCATTTGTAAAATGCCTCAAATGAGAGTGTATATCCAGAGAGGGGAAATAAGCAAATACACAAAAAAGCACTTAGAGTAACTTCCGTGGACGAGAACCTGTCCACAGGGTTTTCTAGGAGTAGCAGTGATAGCGGGTCCTTGCGTCTTTGGAAGCTTGCTCTCTATGCCCTGACTCCTGCTTGCCTGCCTCCCCTCCTGCACGGAGCACACCCCACCGCTTCAAGCGTCTCAGGGAGAGGCAGCTCCTGCACGAAAGTTGCCGGGTCCTGGTCTCTTGTGCTGCTCCATCCTCTGGTACCCTGGCGTGCGCCCTGCTCCTGTAGAACTTCTATGTAGCTCATTTCTTAGCAGCCTCCCTCACAGACACTCGCTGAGCACCGCCTCTGCCAGGCCCCGTGCTCACAGCCCTGTGAGCTCCTACTATGTGCCAGGTGATAGGGAGCGAGCCCCCAATTACCCCAAGTGAGACCGTGCCTGTTGCATGGAAGACAGTGAAAGTGAAGGCCAGAGGAATGACCCCACCCTGACGAGTTGGCACCAGATCACTTTGGCTTCAGGGTCATGTGTGGTCTCTGCATCACGGTCCTATCTCTGGCCCCCAGTGTGCCTGGACTTACCTTTTGTATTCCGGTCCCAAACGGAAAGGCCGGCGGGACTCCTGCCCTGCTCTGCGACCTGGGCCAGGAGGGCTGACCAGGCCCCATCAATTGTTCTCGGCCTAAGCTGAGTCTGCCCCTCCTGAGCTGTGCCCTCACGGCAGGACATGGCATCTAGGGGAATCTAAGGATTCCCTGAGCAAGCACAGGGCCTCTGGCTGCACCATCTCAGGACAGGAACACAGGCGCTACCCATACAGGGCAGCCTCATCTTAGTGGGGGGGGGGCGGGCTGGCCAGGGAGCAGAAGATAGGGAGGAAAATTGCTTTTTCAGTGCCCGACAGCAGTTGCCTTCAGGCTGTTATATAATCTATAAAATAGTGCCTGTGAGTAAGCAAGGGCCTGTGCCCTGGGGAAGGCCCAGCGCTGGTCAGGGGGCTGCTCAGTGACTGTCACCCTGCTGATGGGACTGCTTTCAGGAAGGCTTGGCAGTGGAAGGCAGCCAACTGGGGGGGGGGGTCTGGCTGGCCAGGGAGCAGAAGATAGGGAGGAAAATTGCTTTTTCAGTGCCCGACAGCAGTTGCCTTCAGGCTGTTATATAATCTATAAAATAGTGCCTGTGAGTAAGCAAGGGCCTGTGCCCTGGGGAAGGCCCAGCGCTGGTCAGGGGGCTGCTCAGTGACTGTCACCCTGCTGATGGGACTGCTTTCAGGAAGGCTTGGCAGTGGAAGGCAGCCAACTCGCTGCTCCCGGAAGCGTGTGAGCGCTCTGCCTTCTCCTGCATCCAGCCGTCCCTCCTCCCCACCCTCCTGTCCTCCCTGCCTGCCACCAAAGTCGCTGAGGCCTGTTGGAATCTGGGCTGTTGGAGTCCTGGGGTGGGGCTGTCACCACGATGGTCTGAAGGGCTCCCGGATGCACATTCACAGCCCTCCGAACACACAAGTGTTGCACGTACACACTCTCCCTTGCACAGCCACGGTTTTGAGGAGGAGACAGCCTGTCTCCTGCTCAACTTCGGAAATTCACAGCCCCTCTCACGGCTGGCAGGGAGCCTCACACACACTCAGCCCTCACACTTCTCCCCTTCCCTTTCCTCCCCCGGCTCCTCCTCTCTCCTCTGGAGGTGAGAGGGATTTGGCAGCAGCATCTCTTTGTCTGTGACTTCTTCCTGCTGGCCTCTTTGGCTTGCTCCCTGTTGCTCACATCTGCACAGGAACACATGCACACACTCACAGGCACACGGGTGTGGAAGAACCGAGGGTGGGAACATGTGTTCCCTCTTGCACTAGGACATGTGGCCTGGGTGACAGGTTCTGGTGTGATTTGGGTAGGATGGGCCAGCAAGGGACTCTGGGAGAGGTCCAGGCCCAAAGCTGGGCAGGCAGCCTTGGTCTGACACTCAGGGCAGGCATTGTGAGATGGTTCTGAGCATGTTTTCAAGCTAGCTTCTCTCGGTTTGGATGTATACTCGGCCCCTTACGCGCTGGGTAGTCCTGGGGAGTGATGCAGCCTCTCTGGGCACTGGTTTCGCTGCTTTGTCAGACGGTGCCGAGTTAAGTAAACTACTGTGTGAAAGACAGAGAAGGGTTGTGGCAGCCCCAGGGAGGGCACTGTGTCCCGGGCTCTGTGATGAGCATCATGTGTGAATGATTGTATCGAATTGTTCTCTTCACCCAGTAACGTGGCCACTTCTCCATAGGAAGGCGAAGAGCTTCTCAAAGCCACACACTTGCTGAGGTGGAGCTAGACGTGGAGCTCAGGTTCCGGGCACCCCCATTGGTGGCGGTGCTCCTTTCCGGGGGCAGAGCCTCGGTCTGGCACAGACCGCGGCCTCAGGGAAGGACCTGCCTGCCCGTGACCACCGTGGGAAGGTGCAAGCCAATATGGAGCTGGGAGTCAGGCAGATGCCCAGTCGGTGGTGGAACAGAGCCCAGGCTTGGGCCACCCAGGGAGCGGATTGGAGGGCTCTGGCCCAGGGACTGGCTGGTAGGAGGGGATGGGAGTCTGGCTCAGGGATCTGAAGGCTCCTGACTCTAGCTTTAGGCCCAGCTCTTGCCAGGTGGAGTCAGGTTGGAGAGGAACTTGGGGCTGCCTGTGGGGGCTCAGGGCAGGGCCAAATCCTGCTGCTCTTCCTTCTGGGATAAGGTAGGAACCTTGGTGACCAGAGCCTTTGGGGCAGCACTAAACGTCTCCTGCAGGGGCAGGTGAACACTGGTATGTGCCAGGGCTGCTCACTGTGACCCCGTTGAGCGCCTACCAAGCCCATAGGTGGGGGTCTCACTTCCCTCCACAGAAGCAGAAACGGAAACTTGGGAGAGACCAGCTGTCTAGTTTGCCCAGTGGGCTGTGCAAGACTAGGATGGGACTTGATGGGGTACCCGAGAGATCTCTGAGTGGTCCTGAGCAGGACGGACAGAGACATAGGGCAGGATCAGATGCTGTATTTCACACACAGATATGGAAGAGTCAGAAAAGTCACAGAATCCACCTCTGAGGCTGGCACCCTTGGTTCCATGACCCAGCAATCAGTGTCAGGGTGCAGCAGGAAGAAAGGTGGTGCTGTGTCTAGCAGGTGACACGTGTCTCCTCTCCAAGATGGGCACATATTCCCTTTTAT